CCGTCAGCTAAAGAGGATGGTTAACCGTCAGCTAAAGAGGATGGTTAACCGTCAGCTAAAGAGGATGGTTAACCGTCAGCTAAAGAGGATGGTTACCAGAAGTAAAAGAAAGCTAGCTAAACCGTACAGAAAAGTAGCAACAAAAGCCACATCTAGTGGCTATAAGCTCAAGCTAATAGAGCAGTAAGTAACAGAATGGTAGCCACAAGTAGCATAACTGTAGCTAAAAGTAGCTAAAGTTAGCTCTGACTCCACACTTATCAGCTGAAGGTGAGCTGAACTCATCTCTTTTCACAGATCGTATCAGCAGTGCAGTACTGCCACCAGAAGCACATCGTTCACCGGGACCTCAAGGTGAGTTCTGACAAACCGGGTCTGTTTGGACTGAACCGACCGTTTGTTACCATGGCAACAGCTCTGCAGCACATCGGCCGAATTTCTGCAGCTGCTCTCCCAGCATCTGACAGCCGTGATGCTCCTGTTTTAGTTTTGTCTGTATAAATATTGATGTTTCGGTGTTTTTGAGCTCTGCTCAGCTGATCTGTTCACACTGTTTATAATGACAGGGTGTCAGTGTGTCAGGGACTATACCTTATTATAAAATCATGAAAATATTACATGAGCTTTATGTAAAGTCACGTTTAAACAGCTTTGATGATGATGATGGTGGTGGTAATAATGACGGTGGTGGTAATAATGATGGTGGTGGTAATGATGGTGGTGGTAATAATGATGGTGGTGGTGGTGATGATGATGATGATGATGGTGATGATGATGATGATGGTGCTAATAATGATGATGATGGTGGTAATGATGATAATGATGGTGGTGATGGTGGTGATGATGATAATGATGGTGGTAATGATGGTGGTGATGGTGGTGATGATGATGGTAATAATAATGATGATGATGGTGATGATGGTGGTAATAATGATGATGGTGGTAATAATGATGATGGTGGTAATAATGATAATGATGATGATGATGGTGGTAATAATAATGATGGTGGTAATAATGATGATGGTGGTAATAATGATAATGATGATGATGATGGTGGTAATAATAATGATGGTGGTAATAATGATGATGGTGGTAATAATGATAATGATGATGATGATGGTGGTAATAATAATGATGGTGGTAATAATGATGATGGTGGTAATAATGATAATGATGATGATGATGGTGGTAATAATAAT